CTTTTTAGAGATAGCAGTCCATGTGTGTCTTTCCTTCCTTTACCCATTATTCAATAAAACGACAAAACCTGTAATTGACTGCTTATTCTCATTCTACTCGGATGAGCCCATGATGATGACTACCCAACCCTGAACCTTCCTTCCTCCAAAACAGGTACCAAACGACTCACGGACCGGTACCGGTCCGAGGCCCGGGGGTTGGGGACCGCTGCTCTAGACAATTAATTTAGAGGAATTCATTGTCACCTTGATGACTACAACGTGTCAACAAGCCCAAATTATCAATCAGCAAATGCTATATCTCACAGCAACCGCGGAGGCCTGATATCCCCAAGGCTGGAATTTCCCTCTGCCATAATAATGAAAACAAAATCATCTTTAGAGCTTCTCTTCATCATCCACCACTGTTCTTGACAGTCAATATGAGATATTGTGGTGGGCGTGGTCTGCGGATGCCGTGCGGATGATCCTGCACGGCATCTGCAATCACGCCTGCCTGTTAAAACATGGGGACTCAGGTGTAAGTGTTGCATTTTGAGGAGAAATTTATTTTGCACCTGCAAATTTTTTTTACGTGCGCTCAAATTATTATTAGTTTTTTTTTTTACATGCACTTAGAATAGTGGCACAAAAATAACGCCATACATTAACAGCTCCCACAGTTTCTGTTCTCACTGCAACATGTTTTGCATTTATATGGTACCGTAAGGTACCATATAATGATAAATGAAAAATGAATGAAAACAGCAAAACAGCATAATTGGTTAATTGGTGATTCTAAATTGTGAATGTGAGTTTGAATAGCTGTCTTTCTCTATGTGTTAGCCCTGGACAGGCTGGTGACCTGTTCAGGGTGCACCCTGCCTCTCACACTAGGACAGCTCCAGCCCACCGCCTCCGCAAAACTGAATTGGATTAATGAAAAAGAATGGATGGATGAATAAAAACAACAATTGTTATGTGGTGGTCAATATTAGGGTTGGGTTTTAAAAAAATCAATTTTCAGCAGATTGATATTGATATCGATTCATTAAATCCTGAATCAATTTTTAAATATAAATGTATTTTGCCAAAAACGCCAGAATCTCAGCTTAAAGCTCACAAAACTATTTCAAGAACCACCAAACCGCTAAAACAGCAAATGAGAGCAGGTACACGGAAACGGAAAGCGCAGATTGTTCACCTGATGGCACGTATACAGATGGTGCTGAAAGCCGACACATCACAGATTCTGATGCTGCAGGTTTTGTCACTCTCCGACCAGAATTCACTGAACCCGCAACAAAAGAAAATCCAAACTACGCTTAACGTTTGATAAACATTATCATTAATTCCCTCTTACATTTGCGGTTTTGCTTCCACCACAATAAAATCACACTTCCTGCACAGCTCTTTCGCTCTCTTAGTGTACTTCAAAACCAGTTTCTATTCTCAAATCTCTGATTTCTCCATTATTCACTTGATTATCGTGCTTTCATACTTATTACACGGTTATCTACTATAAAAAGCCAAGCCAAGAAAAATCTCTTTCATGTTTTTCTGTGTTTTATCCTCAGTTACTTTGAAGCGTCAGCTTTGTTTTTATACACAGATATAAAAATAGGGATATGTACTGCTAAATGATCAGAATTATAATTCCTGACTGTCTGAGTCAAAATTAAATTGAATTGAGCTGAATCGGGAATCCAATCGAAACAGGACCTTGTGAATCAGATTCTAATTGATTATAGAAATCAGTGACGATACCCAGCCCTAGTCAGTATAGTCACTGTGGTGGGGTGTGGTTAGTTGCTCGGCTGGAAAGGAGGGATGGTGCAGTGGGTTCAGGGGGCAGTGCCAGAGGAGGTTGCCCAACACAGCCTATTTAAGCAGCATGCCAGGACCCAGAAGGGAGGAGAAATTTGGAGGGCTGGTGACAGTTGTTCTGCGTCTTGTGCAGGTTGATGGTTTCTGAGTTAGAAACAATCTAATGGCAAGAAAGGATTCAAGATCTGCAGCTGTGATGCTGGCGACAGCCTCATTGCTTCTGGACAGATAAGCTAGTGAGATTTCAACAAGATAACATTACTCTGATAGTTATTTAAAAAAAAACAAAAAAAACACCCACCATACCCACTAGACATACACTCAACACACACCTGAACAAAAGAAACTGAAAAGAACTAGGACCTGTAACAACTTGGGTATATGGACTGACAAAAAAGGACTGCTGAACACTTTTATTGCTGTAATATTGAACAAATGTGTTTTATTGTTTGTGCTTTCACTCCTGAGTCGATACCTCAAGCAAATAGGCCAACGTATCTATGTTCAGTCTTTCTTCTTTCTTCGTTTCAGTTTTATCAGTAGCATTTTCTGCTTTGGTTTTACTGCCGTAACTACAAGATAACTGCAGACCACTCGGAAATCCTAAGACAAGGGTTGTGTAGCTCTATCCTGCAACTATTGTGACTTGCTCTTTTCAGTGCAGTCAATTACTCCTCTGCATGTTTGGCTACTTTTTCTGCCGCACTGTAGCATCAATATAAGGGTTCACCAATTGCAGCAAATTTCTGAAGGGAGATTGCTGAAACTATTGGATTGAACATGTGGTTGTATAGCTCAGTGCTCTGATAGGATTACAGGGTTTCAAAAGTTCTCTTAAGTTAGGTATTGCCTAACCACTGAAAAGTAAGCAGTTTTAAACTGGATCTGAAATGAACTGAAAGCTAGTGTAAGGAGGCCAGTACAGGTGTAATGTGTTCACACCATTTCTTTCCTGTCAAAAGGCAACCTGCTACATTTTGAACAACTTGTAGGTGACGAAGTCAGAACTGATCAGAGCCAATTATAAAGAGTTATAATAGTTTTGACAAGTAGTAATGAAAGCATGAATTACTCTCTAAAAGTAATGTGCCGTAAGGTAGGCCTTCACCTTACTGAGGAGCCACAGCTGAAAGAAACTTGTCTTAACAACAGAGCTAATCTGTTTATGAAATTTTAAAGCACTGCTAAAAGGCGACCACATGCTGTATGGCTGAGAGCAGCCGGCCGGGTTCAAGTCCAAGCCACGGCCCTTTCTGCCTTTCGCTTTCCTGTCAATTCTTCACTGTACCTATCAAAGTAAAATCCGAAAAAGGCCAAAAATTAAATAGAATTATATATTTGTTAAGATTAAGAGTAAAGTAATAATCTCGATTTACAAGCACAGAGTCATCGAAAGCTGATGCAAACAAAGATGCTGTTAAAGAACTTATCATGTGCACAATCGGACCAGACACAGACTGAGTGAGAATGTTTCAATAAGCTCAATAAATTCTTTGACCAAGAGTCTGGATTCATAATGGACATGAATATTAAAATCACTGACAATCAGGAACTGATCATAATTCAATGAGCAGTGCCTTTCATAACTAATGACAAAAATATTTTAGTCAAGCCCTATAAACACTAATTTTCAAAATGAGCCAATAAACATTATACTAGAAAACAGGAAGCCGATGTTGATGCTGTGCCGCACTCCTGTCTTCACACACATTTCGCAGCATTCATCTGTTAAAGTAGGACAAGTCTTGCAGCAGCAAAATGGCAGAAATATATCAATTACAACTGCACCAATTATGTCAATACACACACTTACCTTGGCTATTATCACCATTTTGCGCAGTATTTTCATGGCATAATGTACTCCAGTTGTCTTTTCTTTGACAAGAATCACCTTCCCAAAGGTACCCTTTCCAAGCAGCTTCAGATATTCAAAGTCAGTCATTGTCTGTAAAATATACAACTCATTCATTGTGGAAGTGTGTGTACATTTTTTTAATTAAACAAAATATTCTTTTAAAGTTACGTACATTTAGAAGTAAAATATATTATGCTGTTCGTTTGACATGAAATGAAAAGTTTCATCTTTGCATCCTTGTTCCTTATGTCCTAATGCAAATAGCAGACTGCACATAAAACTATTCACCTAATCACTGTGACATATCTTATTGGCTATTATTAAGGCTTAAAGCTGAGCCTTGGTGCTTTGAAACCACACCAGTAATGAGCAAGCAGTGGCTCTGACTGTGAAACGGAGGACCTCTACACTAAATGGCTAATGACTTATCAATCACAAAGAATAAACACCTGAATAGACTGACTAGATTTCTCTCTTACTCTAATAACATTTAAAATGAACTTAACTAACAAATAAGACCATATAATTTTCAGGAAAGTATTTATTGAGGTTATACAGCAAGCAGACATGCCAAGGGGCCACTTTCCCCCACACTTGAACACTACAAGATGTCTTTTTGCTACCACTGCAGTCCCAATGAATGCTGGCATTGGGTTTACTTTCCAATTCTAAGGATAATGATTATGAGGAAGCCAGAGACAATTACATATTACGGTTTGTATGATGTAAGAAATATCCTTTCACAAATCTATACTGATATTCCTGTTTGCACAACACATTGCTTCCCTAATAGAGTTTATGTGAGACCAACTGAAACTGGCCTGACTTACAGTAAGTAGCAGTTTTTATCAGCTCAAAGCTGTATCAGCTTATTCTCTCACCACTTTGGTGCGGCTCTTGGATATAACTGCCTCCATCTCCACCAGGCTGCTTTCGTTTGGTGAGCTGAGAACATCCATTGGTTCCTCTTCCCCCTGTTCCAGCATTTTCAGACTGTTCGCTACATACTGGATTGCCCTTATCCACCCCTCTCTGAAATGTAAAAAATATCACAAATTGCCACTCGGCTATCCAATCCGTAAAACTGTGAAGAGCATGAAATCACTGTATCATATACATCAATACTGGAGAATTTGGCGTGACTTAGTAATTGTCAATTAAAAAAAACAGATGGAGTCGAAGTATTCTAAATGACAACTAATGAATATTGGATACAGGAAAATGCACATCACAGTACATAAAACACAAAAAGTGCATGCCTGGATTTGACAAGGATAGTAAGAAATGTGATTTATGGTTTTTACCTCTCTTCGTTGCTTTCTACATGAAAAGTACGTTCAATAACAGTGGTCCACTGCAGACAACGGATGACAAATGTATTAGGTCTGGGTCTTTCAGTCTTCATTAACTGGCATTCTGTAAAAAATACAATTATCATTCATATTTACTTGAAGGTGGTTAGAAGGGACCAGAACTGAAAAAACATACAGGGAGTCTTGAAAACTGAAAGGATCTGACATAAAGGATGGCCACTCTTCAACATCTTAAAAGACTAACCTGCCACTGAGAAGTTGTTCAGTGGTGGGGAAGTTTGGTCATTTAAATCTGGTTTCTCTTTGTAACCGATGAAAGAGCCATCGCTCTTTAGGATAAAATACCTAGGCCTCCATGTTTTGATATATTCACCTGGATCAAAAATGACAAATTAAATCAACAGTGCAATTATACGATAAATAACTGGCAACAGACAACAGAAGACAACAGTTTTCCCATCTTATAACACAATTTTATAACAATTTTCATGATCCATACCTCTTTTGTGAAGCCATCCCTCTCTCACTATACTGACTTCATTCATGGTAAGGGACTGCCCAGAGAGAGTCAGAAGGAGGAAAAGTAGATTCTTACTATGTTTAAGACTCAGTCACAGTGACAACAGCACCCACTGAATGAAATAAGCAGTGCAACAAAATCAGGAATGACATTAAATATTTTCCATAGAAAAAAAAACAAAGAAAAAAATTAACATTCAGTCAACAGCTGACTAAAAAATAATAATCTTAAAATGAAAGAAAACTAATTTAAGACCTGATAATATAATATCCAGATGAGAGTATCTGGATTTCGCCAATACTGACTGCAGTCAGAGTATTGACTAAATTTAAAAAGCTTATTTAAGATATTTGTTAAATGTTTGCTGTCTTGATGTTGTAACAGACTATCAACTTTAGGATTAAACAATTTTATCTTAATTTACAGATTTAAAGCCTAAAGCCTCATATTTACTTCACTGTCAAGCTGAATGATTTATATTGAAAAAGATGGGTGTTGGAATAACATAAAAAAGACCGACCGATGATGCTCTAATATTAGAATCGCTAGAAAGAAAGAAAAATCTTCGTGTTCAAGTAATGGAAACCACACAATATTTAACAAGCTATTACAATGTTTTCAAACTTGATAAGAGATTATTGCATATTCATTGTCTATTTATTCGCTAATCGTTTAATAATTTATGATTGTCTCGACAAGTTTCTGTAAATGTATACTATTACTCTGTTTTACATAAACTTACATATCAAGGGGACGAAACCTTCCACTTTATAGAAGTGATGGTGAGTAACATTTAAAATGGCATATCTTAGCCCGTTGCAGCTAACGTGAAGGCTCCACAGAATGAGCGTTGGCTCATACGTCGCCCAGCACTAATAAACCAATCCGGAATTTTAAGTATTATTTAATAAAATAAAATAAAA